TTTTGAATGAATAATTTTTTTTTTGGTAGATATTTAAAAAAATCTGAATAATTTATGAATATATTTTTATGCAATAGTAAAACAAAAACTTATTTGCTGCATATTAAAAAAAATATATTCCGAAAAAATTTAAAAAAAATTCGCTTTTAAACAAATTTATTTAAAAAACTACGAAAAAATTTAAAAGGTTTTTATTAAAAAACAAAAACTTTTTGCTGTATATTTAAAGAAAAATCGCAAAAATGTTAAAATTTTTTTTTATAAACTGAAAAAACAAATGCATTTAAAAACTGTAAAAAAATTAGACAAAATTTTAAAAGTTTTTGATTTAGAAAACGCCGAAAAAATTAATTATTTTTTATTACTATTTTTAAACTGCGAAAAAATATTAAAAGTTTTTATGTAAAAAACTACGAAAAAATTTTAAAATTTATTTATTTATTTTTGCAGCAAAAAAGTTTTTAATTCGTTATATTTTTACCATTCCTAAAAGTATTTTTCTGGCGTGCGATTTTTCATTTGCAGACAAAATAAATTATTTATATATTTACAACAACTTTACAATTGTATTTGTCTTTCTATGAATTTCAAGTGCAATTCGCATTTTATTGCCGTAAAGCATTGATACACTAAATTTAACGAGGTGCGAAATACCTTGAGAATTATTGCAGTTTAGAATAAATGCAACCCTGTGAGAAAACTTAACTTGCCATATTACATTTATGGAAGTTACAAAAATTATGGAATCACATATGGAAAATTAACAATGTTAAAATTAGTTGAAAAATTTTTTCTGAGTTTTYAAAATTTCGATAAAAAGAAAAATTGGTAGTGAAATTWAAAAWWTTTTTTTTTTGAAAATTTATTTCAATACGTTAAAAAAATTATTTAAAAAAATATATTTTTATTCTTTTTATAACAAATTGTAATTAGCGGAATATTTTATTGTAGTTGTAAGAATATTTTTTGATTTTTTTTTTTAATAAAAATATTAGTGCAGTTAAATCTCACATAAGCGGTCACTGTGAGGACAGGCCTTTCTGTCCGGTTAATAGACTTCGCAGCTTAATAGATTTAAACATCTAAAATGTTGGGACCGACCAATGTTCACGGTTATAGAGATGTCCTCTTAAAAGAGCTTTCATTTAAACAGCTTTATATTTTTATAATATACTATATAGTTTTAAAACTTTACAAAAATTATATTTTCAAGAAAAATAAATGTTGTATTTTTTTAAGTATATACTAAATATTTTTATATTTTTTTAATTTAATATGCAATAACTTCTTTTAAGAATATTTTTTTATTTTTGTTTTTAGTTTTTTAAGAATTACTTAATTTTTTTTTTTACTTAAARTATGTCTTTATATTTTCATACGATATATTTAAATTAACGAAGTATTATTTTGCAGCTTTAGGAAAACTTTTTCTTTATTTTTTTTATATAAAATATTTAATATTTAAAAAAAGTTATATTATCGACAAACAAATTTTTTTTTTTAAATTTTGAAATTAACTTTTTCTTACAATGCATAAAATGGTATCTGCCATAATATTGTTTGGTGACAATAATATCGATTATTGCACTGCAATAACAACCGCTATCCATAACAACGCTGTAATAGTTATAAATAAATAAAAATATGTCGATAACAGTTATATATAGTAGCACCATTTTCACATATTTTCATCGCTTCAAAAAACTTCTACACTGAAAAAAAAAATTAAACAAATGTCATATGCTTTCATGCGCTTTTGTCGTCAGCACTCACATATACAGTCTGTTGCTTAAATACTATAAATATAATGAACATATGTGTATATCTACATATATATACCACTTGTTTATATTTCGAAGCATATATTCATTTTCCTAGCTTTAACTGAGCATCATCTAGCATTTCCTCTACTAATTGCTTGTGTCGTCATTTTGCCACTGTTTTTTATTACTATCTATAAAGCCACTTGCTTTTAATATTTTGCCTTCGTTGTTGTTGGTGTGTGCTTGTTTATGTTTTAAGTTAATTTTCAATTTGTTTCGCATTTTTTATAATTTTTCCACTCGTTTTGTTTTGCCCTGCCGCAACGTTTTAATTGTGTTGATCGTTTGCCGCTTGCGTAGCCGAGCTTAGCTTTGTGTGCGTTTTTAGCCGCGTTTGTGTATGTGCGTGTATGATAATTAGATATTCTGCTTCAATTTAAAATATTTATAACAAATTTAAAACTGTCGAAGTGATAATATAGTAAAGGTTAATTGGTTCGTGTCTGAGAATGACTAAATTTTCATTAGAGTAATTGTACCAAAAAAAAAAAAAATGTTTTTCTATTGTTTATGAAATTTGAGTGGAAAAGAACTGCTTCGGTTTAATAAAGTAGAGACTCCGTCATTCTTGACAAATGTCTTTTTAGAGATGAGAGAGTTATATAGTGAATGCTTTTGCTTAACAACGATTTGTAAATCTTTATCTACCACAGTTTTTGTCATAAGGTCGACTGTTCTAGTATACTTGCAGTCCAAGGAAAGTCATTACTCTAAGTTCTCTGATCGCTATTCACTTGAGAGAGGCTTGTTTACATATCCATCGAGCCAGAATCGCTGAAAAAATTTGGCTCGAAAACGTTAGATCCATTTGGAACTTCTCAGGAGCCCATAGAGCGAAGCGATGTCGCTTGGAAAGTTTGATCGACTTCAGTTCTTGCACAATCTGTCATTTGTACGCTTTCAATTTAAGATCTCGGCGTAAAATGCAGCAAATCACACCATACGTCAGTCCGAGTTACTGCGAACGGCGCCGAATCGACTCTGTCTTGTGTCTTCATGTATACTCTCAGCTACGGTTGCTATAGTTTCTTCTCTGGGTGCCGGACGCGGTCCATTCGGTGCAACATTATGCAATAATGAGTGTTGGGTCTCAAGAGTGTGAATAGTATGCGCAATAGGCCGGTTGTGTTCAGGTAAGGATGAGTACTTTTAGAAGTAAGCAGGCGGAACAATTTTCTTCGATCCAAATCGGAGTGTAATGGGTATTTTAGAACCTCAATGTCATTTCCTTATGTGTCGCGTTGCCTTATATTGCAGGAATGAACTCGAATTTTATTTGACATTATTCGTTTTATTTATAATTTTGGATTAAGCAGCCATTGAGTGTTAGTCACGCATTCCACCCACGCCTCTACGGCGGGTCAACTATGCGCTTAGACATCTATTACCGCTAACCATACACGGGTTAGACGTGTAATTATTTTTTTATTGATTTGACTGCTTTGTTGACTGAAAGCAATGAACTATAAATACGCAACGAATTTATAAATATTTCAAAGCGTTGTATTTACATATTACAAACAACTGGCAACGCGCAGCGGAAATGTCTAATACAGGCTGAGGGACGTCAGAAGCGCGCGCCACCTACTGCAGCGCTTACATTACTTGCATGCAAATGTCACTTGTCAACGGTTGAACTGCGCTACATTTCACTATCATTTGAATTTTTTAATTATTTAATAATTTTGCATTGCGGCGCGCTTAAGCAGCACTTTGCGGCAAGCCACATTGACGCTAATGAGTTGTGCGCTATTTACATTTCGTTCGACATTTAATGGGCGCTAGCTCTGAAGTAGTGGCACACATACACTAATTTACATTTGTAACGGTAATTGCGCTCATTAGTTGTGTGCGGCAGCAAAACGTTTGCGCTTAGCGCGCATTTCTACGCCAAAAGCGTTGTTGGAGGCGGCCGCCGCCTGCTTAATTTAGATATACAATTTTTTTAAGTATTTTTCGGCATTTTGTACACCCTGTGTGACGATTACAGTGTCTAGAAAGCGGCTGCGCTGGTATTTACTGCTAATCACATCACTAAATTACTAAATTAGTAGTAAAATTTCGTCAGCGCGTCGGCGAAACAATGCAAATACGTACACAGTTATATCTTTGTTGTTGTTTTTTTCATGCCATATGAAGCATACATATGTATGTATATAATATACTACGGCTTTCATTGTTTTCATTTCCACGGCAGCATTGTTGCCGATTTGTTTTATGTTTCCTCAATGCAATTCATTTATTTTCTTTTTTTTCGTACTTCACTCGTAACTGGCGCTTACTAGCCGAGCTTTTGGTATTTATCATTAAATTTGTTTTTAAATGTCATTTCTTAGCTGTTCACACATTTAAAATTGAGTGAAAACGCTACTGACTTTCGTCGAATTTGAGCTTTCTGATTGATTTGCTTCCGCATTCATAAATTGTTTGTGAGATTTTTTCGCTAACTGTTAATCTATAGCATTATACATCCATTTGACAAGTGTATAATCACTTGTGACATTTATAATTATCAATTAATGTGGGATTCTCGCATATTTTAGGTAAATCATATAGTGTGATTTGCGTTTGACAGCTGTAAAATCACACGTGACATTTGCATATGTGAAGATAAACCAAAATTATAATTGAGTAGTATTTCAAACGTTGTGATTTTATCGAGTATTAGTTATTGTATACCGTTTTGTCGTCAAAAATGTTCTGTTTCTATAAATACTACTTTTATGCCGATACTCTATACCCTGAGATTTTCATCTGTCGTTTGTAAAATCACAAGTGAAATCTATAATGATTACTTCATATGAATATTTTATATTTTTCGGCATGCTCTGTGATTTTTATACGATTTGTATCAATAAAATCAGTTATATTTAAAAATAACGTTTTATATGAGATTATGTGAAATTTTGGTATTCTATAAGTTGTGATTTTCACTCGACAAATACGAAATTACCTTTCACGATATTGATGATTTTCATTTGTCAAACGCAAAATCATATTTCACCATCAGTTTAAATTGATTTGTAGATTTTGCGCTGTTCAATAGCTTGTGATTTACATTTCACTTCTGTCAAATCACTGTGTTATTTATACTTATCGATTAATGAGTCACTTTTCAAGATCAATTTAATTAATGAGCATTTCTATACCTTCTGTATAGTTAACATTAACTTGGATTAGTTTAAAGTTTCTAACCTAAAAGGTTTGGGCACTGCAGCTTGACTATCAACCTATTAGAGACGAATTATATTATGTTAACACGGCTTCTTCACAAATTGAAAGAAGCTTCTAATTAAATTTCATCAAACACGCACGAGAACCGTGGAAGGTCGATTCGGCGCCGTTCGCAGCATTATGACACGACTAGGCGCATTTTACATCGAGATATTGATTTGAAAGTGTACAAAATGCAGCTTGTGCAAGAACTGTAGCCACTCATCCTTGCCAAGCATTATTGCTTCGTTCCGTGGGTCTTAAAAAAATTCCAAGAAGGTCCAACGCTTTTGAGCCAAATTTTGTTTAGCCATGAGGCTCATTTCTGACTCAGTGTGTATGTAAAAACGCAATATCGTTTGATTTCAACAAGACGGCGCCACTTCCCACACATCACATAAATCAATAGCTTTGTCGATGAGCAGATAATTTTCCGTTTTGGCCCGGTCCATTGGCCATCAAGATTGTGTGATATCACACCGTTAAGCTTTTCCTGTGGGGATAGCTAAAGTCTAAAGTCTATGTGGACAATCCCGTTTCGATTCAGGTCTTGGACCAAAACATCTCCCGTGTCATTCGCCAGTCACCAGTCGCAATGCTCGAACGAGTAATCGAAAATTGAACTCAAGCGGCGCAACATTTGCAAGAAACGACATTCAAAAAATAAGTGCCAAAAAGTGTTCCTTCGAATGGTAATAAAAACTCCTCAATAAATTTGAAGTTGTTTTTTTTTTGAAGAAGTTTTTTTCTTAAAAAAAGTAGGGACCCTCGAAATATTTCACCCTTTATAATGAAAATAGCGAATTAAATATCCGTCTGGCTGATTTTTTTTTGTTTTTGATTTTCATTTTTCTTTTGAATTTTACTGTTGACAGCATGTCATTTCATGATCTGGTTAAGAACTAACCAAGACCAAAGTCTATCACAGCTCGAAAATAGCGAATGAAATATCCGTCTGGCTGATTTTTTTTGTTTTTGATTTTGATTTTTCTTATGAATTTTACTGCTGACAGCATGTCATTTCATTATCTGGTTAAGAACTAACCAAGACCAAAGTCTATCACAGCTCGTTGCTAACCAGATATTGAGCAAACCATTTGCAACATGTTGCCGATAAAGTACTGGTTAAGCACTTAACCATGTATTGAGAAAACGACCATAATTCAAAGCTAGCTCCTGCTTATTATTTTCTGGTTATTATTAACTCGCTTTTGAAAAAACACTTTTTTGAAATTCATCTTTGTGAGGCCTTTATTTTCAGCGGTCAAGTTTCACTTTTAGCTTTTCTGTTATTTTTAGCTTGTGAGCAATAAATTGAGATCAATTAATTTAAGAAATTTAGCCGTAAAGTCAAATGAATAGTTGACGTCGGCATGACACGAAATCAAAGCGCTCAAGCAATTATTTAATTGAAGATGCTTTTAATGTGTGCAATATTTAGAGACAATGTTAATTTATTTACGAGCCCAATGGATTAAAATACAGTGTGGTTAATTGAATGCGCGTATCTAGTGTGTAGAAGTGGATACCAAAAACAAAGAAAATGTTAGTTTTTGTGCGATGTCTTGGAAAAACGAAGGACTAGTTTTGAGAGAAGTTTAGAGAGTCTACAAATCATAACCATCTGACCAAGTTGGTACGAAGTCAAAGCAAAAGTTCGCGTCAAGAAGCTCGCTCTTCCTGCCATTCTCCGTGGGCTTACGAAAACTCTTTATTCGACCGATTGTTTTTTTTACGTAGCGGGTCCCACGACCAACCCTGGGAAGAATGATTTGCCTTCAAACGGATGCTTATTGGCTACCCAGAGGGTACTTGGTAAAAGACCGAAAGTTGTGAGCTGCCATTCATTCAACTTTACTTATTTATACTTTGTGAACAATATGGTGAAGTGAGTGAAGGTTAGAGTTAGCAGATTTTCAGTTCAAGTCGCGATTTAAACGAAAATTAAAATTCTTCTGAAAGAAGTTGTACTCGACATGCAAGGCTAAATCCATTTCACGGGGTGGATTTTAGAAGATGGAATGTGCGCATACCATAAACAAGTCTGATTCAATACCGCGTATTACTTAAACTTTGGTTTGAAATTACACAGTTTAAAAAATCTCTCGAAATTTTTAAGGTACCGTTAGCAATATGTAAATACATTGCTATTTTATTAATTTTTATTAGCCTAATTCATAAGCATATAATTTTTAATGATGGCTTGGGAAAAATGTGGCGTCGATTTAACCATGTCTATACATGAACTAGTCTCTCAGTTTTTGAGGTATCGCGAAAATATTTCGCACACATGTATATTTTCTTACTTTGCATCTCAAGAACTGCTAATTTGTTGGAACCGCCGATATCGGACCACCATACAAACTGAACTGAACTGTTCAAAGTTAAGTCCTCGTATGGAAAACTTTTTTGATTGAGAAGATATTTTCATGAAACTTGGTAGAGCTTATTTTTGAAGACAGCCTTATAACCTCCGCAGAAATTGTTTAAATCGGGCCAATATAGCAAATAGCTGCCATACAAACTGAACGCTGATAATCAAGTTCTTGCATGGAAACTTTATTATTTATGAATGATATTATAGCTTCCGTGCAACCGAAGTCAATTTTTTTTGCTGGTTTTTATGAAATTTAAGACAAACTAGCCATCGGTTCAAAATTTGAGGCAAAAGCCTCTATTCGAAAATACTTCTATGCTCTCGTCTCCACAGCGGGATCTATGGTTATCTTGTATATGCAGTTTACTATAAGCTAGCTCTTAAGCTACAAGATTCTGCTTGAATGCCGCTTAACTAGCATTTATACTATAAGTGTATTAAACCACACATACACATATACATGCGTATGTATTGCTGTAATATGTATGAAAATAAAGTCATGAAAAGAAAACGATATCAATCACGCTAAATTAAGTTCACTTTAATTTAATCAGTCGCTTATGAATGCACATCTGTAGATATAGACATTTATATATGTATGTGAAAGTACTGTTATACATATATATGTATGTGTTAATACTCTCTACACTTTTTTTCATTTCAGTTATTTACTACGGCACATAAGCAACAAAGCTTGAGTTAAGCAATAAGCAGCAAGTGTGAAGGCAGCGACACTTTATTAAGGCGCAAGTAAGTAAGCGCACAAATAAATATATATTTATATATTAAAGCTATGAGCATATATATAATACATAAGTAAGCAATTTGACGCTCAAAATACGCTGCGTACAGTCTTATGCTCTCATACATGTTTTCTCTCATATTTTTCGCTGCTCTAACTGCCCTTTTTCGCTCTTTTTCAAGCATCCTTTTAGGCGCACAGACCTCTGTAAAATATGTAATTTACGAGCACTGCTCAGCTGTTAAGCGATCTGCATTGTCAAATGTTCATTTTCAACTGATCTCTTATTATACTGAGCTCAGCTTGCGGCGCACATATTTCACCGCTGATTCGCTTGCATTGCGACCTGTAACCGTCCTTTAGCTCTATATTTCATGATATTCATGTTTATTTATATTTATTTTAAGTTTACTCAGCTATATACTTATTTGTATGTTCACAAGTGTTTTTCCGTTCATCATTTACTTTTGTGCATTATCTTTGCTTAGCAAGCTTTCTTCGTGTTCAGCTAATGTGGCCTGCCATCATTTGGCATCGCTTTAATTTCATTTCTAAATTGTTCGCCTTTTGTGTGACAATTTACGTTGATTTGATCGTTGTGTATACAAATACAGAATATAGAATAGAAAGCCAAAAAAGCAACTAAAATTATTTGAAAATTGTATATATATCTCTAACATTATCAAAGCTGTGCTCTCGGAGCCTTAAAGTTTGAGTTAAAACGCGAAAAAGTAGCAAAGGATTCGTTTGAATGTTCTTAACTACCAAGTGAGGTTGGGGCTACAGAAAATTCAAGCAAATATATTTGATTTACTTAAACTTGAATATAAAAACCGTTAGAGTGTTAGACTAAGAGGCTTCCAAGCTTTTTCGAATATACTCGATATTGAATCTTCTTTAAAAAAAAATATTATACTTTAGAATCATAAAAGATTTAATTATAGATGTGAGCGAACAGTAGATCTAGCCAAGAAACCCATATTTCAGTAGCTCTAAAACTGCCGTAGCTGAGAACACGCGAGCTGGTATATTAGCGACTTTTTGATTGTCGATTTATCTATGAGATCAGGCAAGTCGGTAAACCAAAAAATTTTTTGCATTATGATTTTGTATTAAAAATAGGAACGCGCTTAATCCATTAGCTCTAGAACTTCTGGAACTGAGTTCAAACGAGCAGGTAAAGTCAGGAATGTTTAGCGTTATAATTTTGTATAAAAATTAGGAACGCGCTTAAACTAGTAGCTCTAAAACATCTGCAGCTAAGACCAACTGAATTGATATATTAGGAACTTTTTGATTGTCAATTTTATCCATGAAACCAGGTGAGTCAATAAACTCAGAAATGTTTAGCGTTAATATTTTATTAAAATTCAAAACTCGCATATTCCAGTAGCTCTAAAACCTTTAGCTTGAGATTAAACGAGTTGATATATTAGGGTCTTTTTGAATGCCAACTCCATCTATGAGATCAGGCGAGTCGGTAGACACAGAAATGTTTAGTCCTGTTATTTTATATAAAAATTCTTAAGTCGCATATTACACGAGCTCTAAAACTGATTAAGCGAGTTGGTATATTAGAGATTTTTTGATAGCCAAATCTATAGACATGCACTGTATGACGAGAGCAGAGTGAAAAAAGTAGTGTTCGTTTTGGAAAAAGGGTGTTTCATAAGTAGATAGATGATATCAGAAGCGGTTCTAAGGACATTATTAGTGATCGCCTATGAACTTTAGTACAAATTATGGTTATCATATTTTCAGACATGTTCAGCTTTTATAGACCAGCTCGACTTGGAATCATAAAGCACGCTTAAGGGGTGAGTAGGTTAAAAAGTAGCTGAAATCAGGTGAGTCGGGTGCCTGACAAAAATTCTGAAACTATGGCACCTAGCTAAGCACAACAGATACCAATTGAGGTATTTTAGAAAATATTCCTTACCCCAAAGACATACAAAAATCGAATATTTACGAGGATAAAATACTCCCGCTAGATTACTACATCCTTTCAGTAACCATTTTATGCATACTTTGTGCTAGTTTGAGAAATGTCAGGCTCAAGAGTAGACTAGATCAGATACACACCTCAAATTGTCCTTACTACATGAATTTTCCTACAGAATTTTATCCTAGACAACAACCAATTTCTTAAAAATCAAAAGTGTTAAGAGTCTCTGAGGCAAATAGCGCGTACTTTAGAAGTTTTGAGCGATCTTCTTTGGTCATTAATGGTCAAAGCATTTCTATTTTTTTTTTCTTCATTTTCCATTATCTTTTGTTCATAATATAAGGTCTAGTAAAATGAAATAAATTATTTTTCCGATATATGGCTTAAATAATGTAATTTCGTAACAAAAAAGTACGTGTTGGCTCGGGATTAAGCATTGTTTGAGCACGCGTGCAAAGTTGAACACAAGAGAAAATACGCCATATTTTACAGTTCAGATAATTTTGATGTCAAATACATATGCTCCGGTAGGCAAATTGTCGAAAATTTTGATAAAGTAAGGAAAATCATGGAGTCCGATCTCATGAACCCGGGTCTAAATAATCGGAACGGATCAGTATTTTCATCAGGCCAAGGATTGCCAACTTGGCACCATACTTTGAAATTACTTTCTGCCGCTGCAACAATGATCACTTAGGTTTTATTATGTGTTTAGTACGATTGGCAGGGAATCATCTGCAAGTACGAGCCCCGCAGCCTAAGTCGGAGCTGAACAAAGCAATAGCTCAAAAGCGTTCAGCTTTGTTTAGTAACAGAAAAATTATATTTCATCAGACCAACGCGAGACCACACAGATCGGTAGTGATTCGCCAGAAGCACCGGCAGCTTAGCCGAATAGTTTTCCCACCTAATAGTCCAGACCTGGCATCAAGTAATTTCTACTTAATTATTAGTAATAATTTAATTATTTCCCAATACATTTTAAGATTTCCCTATTTTGTGTGTTTGAAATGCATTTTCATTTTATTTTCGATTTTGCCTTCCTATGTTTTATTTTTTATTAATCTGTAAAATATTTGCTTGTAATTCGTGTTTCGTATTTATCTTCTTCTTGCCATTCACTACAATTTTCCATTGCGGTTTCGCTTCATTGCCTCGACTACTTTTTTGTTCTACAGTCAGTGTGTATTGAATTTTTGTTACGCATACGCCACGTTGTACATATACTTTGCTTATGGATTTAGTTGAAAAGGGGTTGGGTTTTTGATTTTTTTTTATTTACTCTACTTTTCCATGTTTGCTTGTGTGTGTGCGTTTAGTGCTTCATTTGTAAGCATTATTTTGTTAATTTTTATTATTTTCACTACGCTTCTTTTGCATTGCATTCGTAAATAGGTTTTTGTTGTGATTTTATTTTGGAATATTTTTCTACTTTTTTAAAAGATATTTTTAAAGTTTATTAGCATCATTTTTTCTATGCGAAGCAATGGTTAGAACCATCACTTAATAGAGTTTTTGTTTAATTAACAAAAAATTTAATTAATTTTCGTTAAAGTAACAATTTTACTTAAACTTTTTACGAAAAATTATTAAATTATTACATTGAAGTTTCCAAAATTTCAAAAATTAAATGAATAAGTTAAATTATATAAAATTATTATATTCTTGCTTAAGAAAATTGAGATTAAGCTATCATTTTATTCCAAAAGCCATACATTTTATAATTTGAGCGATTTCGAAACCACAGTGTTGACTGTTTATTTATATCACTCAAGCAATATGCATTTTTGAATTTTGTATATGATAGAGAGAGAGGTGAACTGAGAGAATAGCCTGCATATTTCTTTTAACTAAAAATTTCTACTAACAAAAAAGTCAGTATATCGGTGAAATGAGTTTTTGAAGTTTGTAGATGAAAGAGAGAGAGAGGGAGAATATCCTAAATATTACTATTAACTAAAAATTCTAACCAACAAAATTCCTCCTAAAAAAGTCAGAAAATCGGCGAGTATTTTTTTCAGCTGTTAAATAAAAAGTTTTTAATTTGACGCATTCCGAAACCATAGGGAGAGAGAATATCCTGATTATTCCTACCAACTAAAAAGTCAGTATATCGGCGTGTATTTTTATCAGCTCTTAATAAAAGAGGCCTCTTTCCAAACTTATGAAGACAGAAACTAAACTCTCTATGTCTACAATCTATAATAGTCTTATGCAATAGCGGTGCTATGCAGATCTATGAACTATTATAGTGTCAGTAAATATCTTATTAGGTACAATATTGAATTCCTATAGCACATTAAACTCCTATCCACAATATATGCCTTTTGTATGGGACTTCCACTTGGGGCGATATTGGGAAAGAAGAAAAGTTATGGCATGGCATGGTGGAATATTTCCCTAAATATGCCCTTCTTAGACGATAAAGCATACATAAAATAGAAAATTTAGACGATGCTGAGTAAGTTCTATCAATATAAAGAGAAAGAGATGGAGAAGCTTTCAATTTTTTTTTTTTATCTACCGGAATGAAGAACCAGGATTAAATTAAAATATCTGGAGTATCCTGATAGATTTAAGTCTTGTATAAAATCTATATCATTGTTATTTCAGATAGCTTTAACAAGAAACAAATAACATTAACTTCGCCTGCACTGAAGTTATAATACCCTGCAAGGTGACGATATACTTTATGTGGTCTCCGATATTTCCTTCTGGGTGTTACAAACTTCATGACAAGTTATGCCCAATGTTCAGGTTATACAAATTAATTTCCTGTACTTGGAGACTTTAGAATAGAATTTGTTAAACTGGGAGTTCTCTAACAATGCTTAGTAATAATTTAAGATCAGCAACTTAGTTCGCTACTGAGTTTTATACAGCTCTTTCGAGCTAATACAAAAATCAGTGTATATTTGTAGAGGTCAGGTCTGGTGTGCAATCCTTTCAGGTGAGCTTCAGATATAAGTTTGAAAAGTTAGGGAGGAGAGAGGTGTGGAGAACATGGATTTGTGAATTTTTCCAAAAATATTCGGGTAGAACCGGATTCCTTAATATACAAGATCGATTCTTTAAAGGAAGTCTCCACGACGTATATGAGTATATTATGTAAGGGGTAAATATTTCATATTGACGTTACAAAAAAAAAACACTTTTTTCTTTTTCTAATAAAATTCAAAAATTACCGCAAGAAAGTCTTGAATATAGAAAATATTATATAAGTCTATCGATATGCGTATATCGTTTTAATTACAGGATTATTAATACAGCGAGTACGCTTATAAGGTTAGATAACACTACACAGTAAATCCTTATGTACCGGTTGTGCTGCTGAGGCCCCAGTGATCTTCCATGTTGCTGCTAAACTTTCTCTACTCCTAGACAGCCGCAAAGCGTTAACTCTGCACTTATAACCGACGCTAACACTGCGTTGAGTTGAGTGCGCGTGTACTCAGCGATTTTTTGTCAGCTTTTGTGGCGATAACGCAAATTCGAAAATACGCACTTTTCACACAATTTCAACTCATACGCGCGTTTTTACATAAATTTCTTATTAACAGAACTTCAGCAAGTGATTAGAGATTTGAAAATTTGATAAGTATTCTTCAGTATTTTCGCATAACTTTTTTTCTGGTTTTTTCTACTTTCTATCACTGACTGACAAAACGGTTTTCTTGCGTTGCACACTCGCGCACTAGTCGACAGATAATCCAGCCACCGCAAACGAAGTGCTCGCACTGCCCGCAAACGTTTACTAATTCACGCGCTGTACCAACGCCATGCGCGTCTTAGTCGTTATCGTCGCCACCGTCGTCACCCGGATCGAGTGTACGCCACTCGCTACTAAACGCGACCGGATACCCGTTTAAGCTCGTATTACAGCTTTCGGCAAATCTTCTGAGACTAACTAACGGCAACTACACAGCTTAAGCAACCGTGCAACACGAGTATATACTACATTTGTACATACATATGTATCTATAAATACATATATGTACATATGAATGACTGCCGTCAATGATAAACGTTTGCGCCTTTCCGTCTTCGTTTGCGCCGCTCACGTTGTTGGCTTTTTGTTCGTCGTCGTGCACCGCCTTAAGCGATGTCTTTACCGTCGTAATGTAGCGCGTTGCCGAGTACCAATCATTCGATTTTCAACATCCTATTATGGCCGTAAATTGTTTTTGTTGTTGTTGTAATCATTTAATTTTCGGTGCTTAGTCAAAGGAATTATTACTAAGTGACTTGAAGAATTTGCCGCGCGTACTAAACGTAAGCCGCCATTGCCAGTGTCGTCGACTAGCATACTGAACGGCGGGTTAACGTGATGCACCGTGCCGAGTGCCAACGACTACGACTCCGACTCAGCAAAAATACAGCGCCGACGCAAGCGTAATCCATGACAATTGACAGTGATGGCAACAATTGCCGCTGCCGTACGTGTGTGTAGGCCTGTGTGGTTGTGTATTTAACGCGCTGCGGCAGGCCGCATGAAAAGCGTGGCAAACGGAAAGCGCTATTTGTTGACGCGTTGCGTTTGTGTGCAACTTGTAAGCTTCAGCAGTTGATTCTCGTTGTGTGTTTGCGTGTGCATATGTATGTATTGTGGCTGCCACCGGCGACTGCTCAATCAGCTAGTTCGCCGCGTCGCGTTTGACTGACGCGCAATCAGCAGCGCCAAAGTTCGCGGGTCGCGGCAAGGTATGGCTTGATTGCGCACCCACCCACCCAGCGCGGCAATATGCCTATTTACAAATATAAAAAACAGCGCTTCGTTTTTAGTTCATCTTTTTTTGTCCAAATGTAGGTTTTTCTAATGCGCGTACGTCTGACGCGATCTTTCGACATGCATATACATATGTACATATTTGTATGCATATAAGTATATTTAGATATGTATGTATATACATGTATATGTAACTTTGTGTATATATGTACATACAATATATGTATATAGATATAGGCGGCGCACGACCCAGCTGAAATGCAGGTGAATTTCGTTCGCTTGATTTGCTCGTGTATTAATGAAATGAGAAAATCATATAAATTAATAAAAAAAAATATCTTTTCCAAAAGAATGTATGAAAAATTTTTGATAAAAAAATAA